TACTCAATATGGCTTCAAGGATTCGACAAGTTATCGCCCTTTATTAAGAAACAAGAGATCCCAGAGGGATCTTGGCGCCCTCCATTGTACCATCTTCAGTAGTTCTATGTTAAGTCGTTCTTTTCACTTCTTTTCTCTTATCTGTTTGACCGAGTCATGTATACAGTAAATGCACCTTGAGGTAACCTTTCGATCTAAACTTCATTCTGCTGTATATAAAAGACAACCTTTCATATGAGTTTGTAGTTTTACATATTTAGTAGAGTACTTAATGTGAAAGAAATAGAAGCGATCATTGTAATATCAGAAAGGTCTGTTTAGTTCTTCCTGCAGCCATCTTAGTTTTATGATCACTCTTAAAATAAACAGGCAAAAGTAAGGACCAAGGGAAACCTACATATCAAATTTGACAAAGATCTCTCGAGTACTTTCTGAGAATTAGCAATAACAAACTTTAACTGTCAAAATTCAAGATGGCTACCTGTCAACAATTTTGTTTATTCCATCAGTTACAAAAGTAAACATGCACAATAAATTACCAAGGGGAACCTACATAATAAATTCTAGAAAGATCCATCCATTACTTTCTGGGAAATAGCGATAACACACTGTCAAAAAAACAAGATGGCCGCTTGTCAGCCATATTATTTATCCGATCAATCTCAAAAGTGAACAAGCACAAAAAAGACCAAGGGGAACCTACATATCAAATTTGAGAAAGATCCCATCACTTCCTGCGATATAGCAGTAATAAATATATTGTCAAAATCCAAGATGACCGCCTGTCAGTAATTTTGCTTAACCGATAAGTCTCAGGGGAGCATGGGAAGATTTCATGTGAATGTTGAGAAAGATAAATTTGGTAATTTCTGAAAATAGTGCTAACAAACTTTAACTCGATAACTTCAAGATGGCAACTATCGACCATCTTGGTTTTCTGATCAGTATCAAAAAGGAATATGCATAACTACAAACCATGGGAAACCTTCATGAGAAATTTGAGAAAGATACCTCCAGTACATTATGAGGAATAGCGCTAACACACTTTAACTCTAAAATTCAAGAGGGCCGGTTGTCGGACATCTTGGTTTTGTTATCAGTCCCACACACCGATACGCATAACAAGGGATCATGGGAAAATTTCATGTGAAATTTGAGAAAGATTCCTTCTGTACTTTTGAAGAAATAGCGCTATCAAAATGTAATACTCAAATTCAAGATGGCTGGCTGTCGGCCATTTTGGTGTTCCGATCAGTCCCAAAAATCGATGTGCATAACTAAGAATCATGATAAACCTTCACGTGATATCTTGAGAAATAGAGCTAACAAGAATTGTTTAAGGACGGACGACGGACGCAGGGTTATTTGAATAGCCCACCATCTGATAATGGTAGGCTAAAAACTGCTAGAAAATTCGTGCTACAAAACCATTTAACAATAATTCATCGACTAATAGAGAATACAATTAAATCAAGCCAAGAACATCATTTAACATTAATATTAAGCGTCAATTATAGTATTGAACAAATATTTTGGAAGCAGCAGTGATACCATGATCAGACAGGGGGCGCTGGTAACAGCAGTGATTAACGGGATTCAGGGGAGGGGGGCAATGCATAGCTGGCACATCAGCGTCTCCTGGTGATACGAATAGGCCAACACCAAACCCCTCCCAAGTAGTATACCTGGGTATCAGGGTTATTAATATCCTGATAATCGTCATGATTTGGTTTAGTTTTATATTGCCACCATGTATGTTGTGTATGCTTTCATGCCAGAGACAGGGTATGATGGTGTATTTGCCTCCTAAAGCCTGAAGAAGAACATAATCAATTTAAAACAGAAGTCTTGCTTTGGATATAAAGAAATATTCTGAAGACAAGCACTAACAAAATGTAACTTTTCTGATGTTCACCGAAACGCGTTTTAATATTTGCATTCACCACCATTCAAGTTGACTCTGTACAACTTTAGTGAAGATAATTATGCACATATGCATGTGTCTAGTTCGTAGGACGTGTTACCACGTATCTGTTTCATACACAAAGTAGAGAGACTATGACGATATAAAGATTGTTGCAAAATATCTACTTAAACGGTACATTTTCACCAAATCTATCATTTCACCGTACAATTCGTTGAGCGTGCTAGACAATATTAAAAGGAAGACCAGTAAAGCAGGATTTTGCCAACTATTTTGGGAAAGAGCCCCTAAGCAGAAATTGGGAAAATACAATAGGCATTTCAACAAAGTTGGGAAATACCATAGATTTGGAAAAAATCTAACTTGCAACGTGTATAAGAAACAAGAGGCCCATATAGCCTGTATCGCTCACCTGGATATCTACGCAATCATGGCAAAATATTCTCCAAATGAGATCCAAGGGAATATGCCAGACCCCAAGGCCAATCCTTGTAGCATATATCTGTATTCAATTGTTCATGCCCAGCAATTTTATGTATGGTTATGGGGTGGGGATCTCAACTGTTTCCAAGCTGTGACTTAGAAACTAGGTCCCTATGGCTGTGGCCAGACCCCAGGATCAATTATAATATCATGACTGCATTCGTCTCTTTTTGCCCAGCATTTGTATATATAGTTTTGTGGTAGGGATCTCAACCGTTTCAAAGTTATGACCCAGGGGTTAAGTCTCCAAGGGTGGGGCAGTCCCCAAGACCATCCTGGAAGCATATGTGCATTCATCTCTTTATACTCAGCAATTGTCTATATGGTTATAGGGTTGATATCTCAACTGTTTCCAAGCTGTGACTAAGAAACTAGGACCCTAGGGGTTCGGTCAGACCCCAGGGCCTATTCTAACATCGTGACTGCATTCGTCTCTTTATGCCCAGCTTTTGTATATATAGTTTTGGGGTGGGGATCTCAACAGTTTTAAAGCTATGGCCCAAGGACTATGTTTCCAATGGTGGGGCCAGACCCTAGGGCCATCTTGGAAGCAAATGTGCATTCTTCTCTTTATACTCCGCAATTGTATATGTGGTTATATGGTGGGGATTTTAACCATTTCCAAGCAATACACTTTTTTTGGCCTCACCCCTTAGCCCAGCGGGTCAGCCCCATAATGTGTACATTTTTGAATCGCTGCATCCCATGAATGCTTTTGATTAAATGTGATTGATATCCATGGAATAGTTCTACAGAAGAAGTCGTTTATAGCAATATAGCCAAATTGCCCCCTTTTGGCCCCGCCCTCAGCCCCCTGGGGGGTCAGCCCAACCATTTGTACAATTTTGAATCTCCACCACCTAGGGACGCTTCCAGTCAAATATGGTTGATATCCATCACTTAGTTCCAGAGAGGAAGTTGCTTAAAGCAATATAGCCAAATTGCCCCCTTTTGCCTTGCCCCTCAGCCCCCTGGGGGTCAGCCCCACCAGTTTAAAGAGCGTAGCTTTTGTTGATCTTTTTTACTGATTAAGAATACAACTTTCAAAATTAGATAAGATAAACTTTATTTAAAGTCGGCTAGTCGAGGAATAACAATACAACACTAGCTCTAATGAGATTAAGTCCGCCATAATAATAGTGAGACCGGGGCAAGTTCGGCCTTTTTTTATAGAAACAGTTTTTAGCTCACCGGGTCCAAGGTGAGCTTATGCCATACCGTGGCGTCCGTCGTCCGTCCGTCAACATTTTCACAATTTTCTTGTTTTTGCTTTGTTTTTTGTTTGTACAAATTGACCTCGGGGATGACGTGGAACCTCCATTTGCTACAGAGCAACCAGTAAATGTATAAGAAAAGACAACTATACAATTTAAAACAAATATTATGACAAGTATACGATTTAAAACATTTATTATGACAAGTATACAATTTAAAACATTTATTATGACAAGTATACAATTTAAAACATTTATTATGACAAGTTAACATACAAGACATATAATAATTAATATCAGATATTGATTGTATACAGACATAAACAACTGGTTTGCATATACATAACACAGCCTGATCATAATTAAAAAATACTTTAACATGTATTCATTAGCAACAGATATTGATTGTATACAGACATTAACAACTGGTTTGCATAGACATAACACAGCCTGATCATAATTAAAAAAATACTTTAACATGTATTCATTAGCAACAGATATTGATTGTATACAGACATAAAAAAAACTGTTTTGCATAGACATTACAAATAAAACAAACTGACATGAAAACAAAAGTCAACATTGGAAAATAAAATACTTTCAATAATGGAAATATCATAATCTTGCAATGAATTTGTAAAATAAATCTGTTGAGTATTTGAACAAAACCCATTAAACATATATTCATCAGATATTTATTGTATATAGACATATAAAAACTGTTTTACGAAAACAAAACCTAATCAAAGTTAAAATCATTGACACTATATATATACATAAACATATATCCAAAAGAGAATGAGACAGGAAAAAACAGTTAATATTTGAAAAAAAAATGGATTTGTTTTGTATTCTACATGAATAACCATGCATAAGATTCAAACACAATATTTTTTACAGGAGTTAATGTTTCATGTAAAAACTGTTCTTGTGACAAACCAAAAACACATTTGAATTGGTCTAACTTAAATCTGTTGAATAATATCAAGACTGTTGGAGATATTACAGATTTATACATTTAAAAAATATCGCTGGAGGTAGTACGCAGATCTGTTGAGTAATATCAAAGCTTCATATTAGTATATATGAAAATGTTGAATATACAAGAAGAGGTTATAAGGTTGCATGTGGGGCTGCGGGCGGGGTAGGTGGAGGGGGTATACGAAGTATATACTCTATCACTCTGTGGAATGCAATTATGACTAACAGAATTATAAACTCTGATAGCATTCCACAGAGTGAATCGACTGCTTTCAACAGAATCCGTTCTAAAAAAAGATATGTACTTTTATTATAACGTTGATAGGCCATTGGCACACCAATACCACAAACAATTATCATCACAGACACTAAAATAAAATAATATGTAATAAGATTACCAAGGGTATATATTCGATCTCCTCATGGCCAAGCAGGTTGAAGCCATCATCAAACACTGGCTGCTGGAAAGTTTCAGCTTGTTTTTTGTTTTTTGACATACCAGTGATATGCACCACATGCCAGAAATACTGAAAGTATAGAGTAGAACATGCTATTGACATTTGAATCTATTTTTTTAATATACATACTATAAATCACATTTTACACTATAAGAAATGTGTGAAACAGAAACAAACAATTTATTCTAATTTTGAAGCTATTTTGAGATATACATACCAAGAACCCATCCTCCGACTACCACCCCACCATGGAGCTAACTCCTGTTCACTCTGAAAATAAATAAATAAATAAAAGTTTGAACTCAAGTTAGTTAAATAAGATTCTATTACTGAAAATGATTTCATTTACACAATTTTATTCATCAAAAAAAAATATAGACAACTCACTGTCTGGCTTGCGATGTGATCAATCTGATCAGCTTGACTGGTGGTATGGTCAGTCTGATCGACGGTGGTGCCGGTCTGGTTGATGGTGTGGCTAGTCTGGTCAGTTTGACCTACGGTGCGACCAGTCTGACTGGTGGTGTGGTCGATGGTCTGGTCTGGTCTGGCTGGTCTGGTCAGTGGTGTGGCTGGTCTGCGCATGATCTATCAAAAGCAATAAAAAAAATCAGTTTAAAAACTCATCTTCTGTATACTAGTGGACTACCAATGCCGATGAATCATCAGTGCTAGGTAGTGTTAAAAGAAAAACAGTTTTATTTAATTTGCTCTAGGATAAATATAAGTGTCAGTGTTGATCGCAACAAAAGAATGAGAAATAATATTTCATTGAATTATAGTTCTAGGGTAGGATTATTTGTAGCAGTCTCTGAACGTTTGGAGAGGATTGAATGTATATGGATTTCGATGACTTACACGCGCATCATTCTCGATACCGTACTCACCTTTACTAGTTTAAAATTGTAAATAAACTAATTGTTTATGCATGTACTTACACATGGCTCCACAATCACATCAGGCAAATTGATTTAAGCACAACCAATATCCCCGTGCAGATATATGTGAGAGAGGGGGGAGCAATCACCTGTACATGTTAGTCCTATGGTGGTCTGCATCTCCAGAACATACGTCATCTTTACCGGTATCCTTTCGGAATCGATAATCAGGTGTGTTGGATTATGTACTTGTTTGACAATGCGACACACAAGTGAAGATGAGTCTGCATTAGTTCGATGAATGCATTTGGCGAAACCATACAAATCCAAAGATGTTGAACATGCTGCGACAATAAAAAAAGCTAACACTAGTACAAGTCTGTGTGCTGTCGTCATGTTTGCTTAGTTACTAAACTAAATGAAGAATAAACATCGGTCTTCAATATCCGGATTTATTTATTTCTTCCAAAACTTCGGTTTGCATTTGTTATAACCAAATAATGGTCAATCATATATACATTATGAAAATGTTATCAACTAATTCTAACAAGTTGTACGTGGAAGGTTTGTAAATATTCCATCTTGAATGAGGGTTTGAACGTGTATGCATATATTGAGAAAATCAATAAAATTGTATTTTAAGAGCGAATGATATATGTTACGAATGACAGATGACAACGTGTTTATATTTTTTTATAGTTGCCAAGGGCAAGCGTATCACAACCATTAGGAAGAACGTAGCGCTCATCATCAAAAGGTGATATCCCCGATTTGTTGATTGTATATACATGTAACATGTTTATCTGATCTAATTGAATTCATTTCACACATCTTGTTCGTCTTATCGAACAAACATTTCACGTAAATATCGTGTCGCAAGTCTTTTTTAATGGTTGCTTTAGCGACACCTTTAGCCACTTGTTTCTCTTTTGACGTTGTTGTGATTACAGTACAACTCTCGACAACAGACCTTTCTTCCATACAAACTACATAAGAATACAACTTTGGACGAAGACCGACACACTCTGAAATGGGATGTGATGACGTTTCGTCTTTAATGTATCCCGGGATTGTTTTGTTTGATGAATGGTGACAAGGGTGAGTTGGTGGATAATCAGACAAATCATACACATGTATGTCCTGGTGAAGATCTGAGTATAAATCGGGGGTTTCAATTTCGATACCTAAAGAATCGGTGTCTGTAAATAATAACTTCATTCCGTCATAATATTTCGGCTTAAGATATTTGTAATAGATACATGATTATTTTCGAGAGCTCTAGAATGGCTTGTCCGGCATATACCGGTTTCTTCAGTAATAATTTGTTTTTTGCATTCTCAATGCCCACCAAATTCTCGCTAAAGATTTTAAATCGTTCAAATGACGGTTTTGCACAATATTTTTTTTCTTTCTCAGTATGAGCTAACTTTATGTCTACTTGATTCCTAACATTTTCCATTGTTTTACCGAACACGGCATTGTTCATGAGCTTTTTTCTCAAAGTAATTTTGCGATTCAACTTTTTGTTGCGAATTAAATAAGATATATGGTCTTAGCTAAGGATGTTGTCTAAATTCTAAAATTTTATGAAATTTGGTAAATTTCATGCCGAGATCTAGATACAGGTGCAGATTCCTATAATGACAGATAAAAAAAATATTTTCTAGAGTTGGAATTAGTTTTTCGTTTGCACGCGACATTTTTATTTTAGATTGGAATGACTACCATGTAATGTGTTCCAAAGGTGTCTACTGTACGGGGAGAGTTCATCGTCAGAAACTTTCCTCCGCTCGGGAGCTAGAGGGTAGTCGGAGTGTGCATCGTGTAATGCAACGGGATGCTCTAAATCCACCTCTAACACGTAGTCGAAGTGTCCCTATTTTGAAATACTGTCAATGTCAAATTCCTCTACATTTTCAGCCCAGCGGAAATCTCCCATGGGTAACGGTTCCATCATTGCTTTCCCATACATGTTATTACAATCTGTATATAGAATTTATGTGTTTGGTTTTGATGTATCGTACGTTTCAGGAATGTATGGGTTGTTGGCTTTCGAGTACTTGTTAGATATCATAGATACGCCGCCGCGAACACCACCCTCGAAGAAAAGATACATTTGTAATGCTGCATTTCAAGCTAGACCGGGGCTAGTATAGAATGGGCATGGATCTAATCCATAATAATTTAAACACATAGTTCTAAAATTCTTAAAGACATCTGTTAGGAGTAGGTTTGATGACAGCTCTCGGCTCCCAAAACTAGTAAGGCTACAGAGGTAAACCATTCACATTGTATCTACAAAGGGTTTGAGGACAGCGCTCAGCTCCGAAATTCCCAGATATCCGCTCAAGGGCCGATACCTCAATTTTCAGAGATGGTCGAGCAGAAAGCCGCTCTGTCTTTTCATGTCCCGAGGTTGCCTCACGGCCTCATTGCACGGTAAATATATAGTAAAAGGTTTTAACCTCATCACGTCGCCTTTTCCGCATTGCGGCATCAGAGAGTTCCAAATTCGTGACGTCACGTCATTGTCGAGCCATTGTGGCGTCACATCACGTGAAATGGGGTGTAAGATAGAAATTTCCTACACCCCTTTCTTATTATGGACAGCTCTATTAATAAGAGAAAACATTTTTCCTGCACTACTAAAACACAATTTTAAATGCATGATCTCTATATAATGTAGTTACAGACTTGACATTTCAGTTTCGACTTTTTCCAAGAGTTATTGCCCTTTTTGTACATTTCAAGCACTATTTTGTATATTTTTCCAAAAAAAAAAAATATGCGACAAATTGCAATGAAACGTTCTGTGAGCAATACATAGTTAATGATTATTTTTGGGATTCAAGATAGCCACTTATAAAGGCATCTGATTGGCTAAAATAGCAATGATTATAGATGAGTTATATTGGGCTGACAGTGTTGATACTTTGTGGAAGTAAATAGATAGGGATGATACATTGAAATAAATGGCCGAGATAAAGATTTTTGTTCATCTTAAATGACATTCAGATCGCCTCGGAAATATGCTGAGTGTGTATGTTCTGCATGTACAACTTCCCAGAATGACACATTTTGTAACTGGCAATTTTAACTAAAAACAAGGAAATATTTTCACCAGCTGCCAAAACCTTCATTGTTTTAGAAATCTTGAAAACTTCGAAGCGATTCGAATGCCTTTGAAGACGAGGAAAGAAAAAAACACGGGGAAGGAAAAAATACAAAGAGACAAAGGCAGCAGATCAGTTTGGTTCCCTCACAGTCCTTTACTGTTGAAGACAAAACATAAATACTGGTCCATTCTAGTCACAACCTTTGTATTTAAATTTCAATCTTGTTGCGTTCTTAATTGCCCACCAATACTGTAGAGGCCATTATAGCCAATAATAGATCGATAAGACATGTTAATGAAGATATGCCATTTAAAAAATAAATAAAAACAAATGTCAACATAAAACGTAAAGGTAGCTATGTGGTTGGGTAAAGCCTACAGTTATCATGTATCTAATGGTATAGGTATTAACTGTTTCTAAACGAATTTTAAAGATTCGTTATATTACTATAGACATATTGTGTTTGGTGAATGTTAATACAACCTAACGACAGTTTTACTGTTAACATTGTTTTTAGGTGGTGAGTAGAGATGAAGGGTCATGTAGCACTCTGACAAGTACGTTGTATTACATGTTTGTCACCTGTATCAAATAAATAACCAGTAACTCGCTGTGAAAGAATGTACACCCAGTCGTTCTAAACGTACAAAATGACGATCAAATCATTGATTCGGCTATGCATTGTTTGATACCTGGTCATACATCTCAGTTCAGAACTGGCTTGCTGCGGTGTATCCAGGATGCTTTCGTCATCTTCCACTTGAATAGACTGCTCTCGCTTCCTCTCTGTTCAATACTTTGGATTTTTTCGAGTCGATAATAAACTAGTCTCTCCATCTCTATTTAATTTTTTGGTTTGGTTTGGTGTCTTTGTGTTTTATGTCAGGTTGTGTTTGTGGAGGAAAGCCAGAGTTCTTGGAGAAAAACCACCGACCTACGGCCAGTACCTGGCAACTGCCCCACGTAGGCGCCGATCCCGCGACCAAGTAGTAGAGGGCTAGTGGTAGCAGATTGTCAGACGCCTTAACCACTTGGCCACCGCAGCTCCTTCAATACTTTGTTTTTCGACTCGATAATAGACCTCTCTCTCCCAGCTCTGTTCAAAACTTTGAATTTTTCCTAGTCGATAATAGACTGCTCTCTCCATCTTTGTTTAATACAGACTGGTCTATCTCTATCTCTGTGCAATACAGACTGGTCTCTCTCCCTCTCTGTTCAATATTTTTGAGTGTTTCGAGTCGAAAATAGACCGCCGTCTCTCCCTCTCTGTTCAATACTTTGTAGTTTCTCTAGTCGATAATTTTGGTTTGGTTTGGTTTAATTATTGTTAAAGGTTCTATTAACAACCATTTAAGATCGGCCTCCCATGTGTGCAAGATGCATGAGTGTAGTGTATGCGTGTGTGTTTTGGGGGGCTGCGATATGTTCGTGTTTCTGTTCGAAGTGAGTCTGTTGTGTATTTAAGGTAATGAATACAGAGAGAAAATGATTGCAATCAAATGATTTATTTTCAGCACAAATATGATCATAAACAAAGCAAACTGTCAAATTATCTCATAATAAGTTGATTATATTATACTCTTTCAATTTCTGAACGGCATTGATGACAGAAACATATACAAAACCTCTTTCAAAAGTACAATTCTTTTTTTTTCCGAATTTAACGGAGTGTTGTGATGTTATCAATAAAACAATGTCAATAATCAAAATTATTAACAATATTGTTGTGTTTAATTACATTGAAGTTTGTAAGGATATTTATACTTTACTGTCGTTATTTTTATAAAACACAGAAAGACGTGAAAGGTAAATATAAGTATTAATCTGCTTTAAGGTTCGGTTTACAGGCAATATGAATGCCCACTGCATTACAGATAAATGAACACTGTAATGCAGTGGTCATTTAAAATGCTGTTCTCGATACTCCAGGGATTACGCTCACTTTCGCTCTCTGCACCTTTGATTTATGTCATGACAAATTGAAAGGCTCGGTGTATGAAATATTGCGGATGAAAAGAGAAGACTAGTTTGATCCTGTAATGTGTACATCAAAAGAAACTCTTGGCCGCATGACAGTAAAATGACCGGTTTTGTTTTATCTGCGACCAATCAAACACTCAGCAGCGTGCCTGACATATTCCAGGAGTGCAGAGAGCGAAAGTGAGCGTAAAGCCTTGAGTATCGAGGATGTCATAATGTCAACGAGCCGCATGTGAAATTAGTAGTTTATGTTTCACAAATTTCTCTCAATTCAACAACCACTTAAAGTACTTATAATGTTATCCAATTTTCATATATTCCGTCTTTTCGTATTGCAGAGTTATCTGCTCTTGTGAGCAGGTATTGATTGTTACGTCATTTGTTTGTGAGAGTAACGTCGTCAATTATTGAGAAAACGACGTAATTTTCTCACACAAACCAATGACGTAACAATCAATACTTGCTCTCAAGAGAAGATAACTCTGCAAAACGCAAAGAAGGAATATCGGCGAAGAGGGTAAATTTAAATAGGAACGACATTTAAATAAAAATGTATTTGAATATAAATATAAATTGAATAAATATAGTCTAGAAATATAATTATCAATAGGGATCTTGGCGCCCACCATTGCAAGATAATGTGAGTCATTAACGTACAAACAGAAATGTAAAAATAGACATTCACAAAAATGATCACATCAAACTAGAAAAAACGACGTAATTTTCTCACACAAACCAATGACGTAACAATCAATATCTGCTCTCAAGAGAAGATAACTCTGCAAAACGCAAAGAAGGAATATCGGCGAAGAAGTTAAATTTAAATAGGAACAACATTTAAATAAAAATAATAACTCAAAATATATAAATGATGTAAAAATACATAAATAGCAAACAAATGAGATGTAAAATATGTCATATAATATTGTGAGGTTTTACTAAGTGTAAATAGTTATATATTAATCGCACAGAAACTATATCAAATAAACTTTTTATAAATGGTACATTATATTATGGCAATTTAAGGACGTGCCAGGTTGTGTTTGTGGAGGAAAGTCAGAGTTCTTGGAGAAAAACCACCGACCTACGGCCAGTACCTGACAACTGCCCCACGTAGGCGCCGATCCAGCGACCAAGTAGTAGAGGGCTAGTGGTAGCAGATTGTCAGACGCCTTAACCACTTGGCCACCGCGGCTCCTTCAATACTTTGTTTTTTCGACTCGATAAAAGACTGCTCTCTTCCATCTCTGTTCAAAACTTTGAATTTTTCCTAGTCGATAATAGACTGCTCTCTCCATCTTTGTTTAATACAGACTGGTCTATCTCTATCTCTGTGCAATACAGACTGGTCTCTCTCCCTCTCTGTTCAATATTTTTGAGTGTTTCGAGTCGAAAATAGACTGCCGTCTCTCCCTCTCTGTTCAATACTTTGTAGTTTTTCTAGTCGATAATTTTGGTTTGGTTTGGTTAAGTATTGTTTAACGTCCTATTTACATATACGGTCTCTCATGTGTGCAAGATGCATGAGTGTAGTGTATGCGTGTGTGTTTTGGGGGGCTGCGATATGTTCGTGTTTCTGTTCGAAGTGAGTCTGTTGTGTATTTAAGGTAATGAATACAGAGAGAAAATGATTGCAATCAAATAAAAAAATTTCAGCACAAATATGATCATAAACAAAGCAAACTCTCATATTATCTCATAATAAGTTGATTATATTATACTCTTTCAATTTCTGAACGGCATTGATGACACACGCATATACAAAACCTCTTTCAAAAGTATAATTCTTTTTTGTTTCGAATTTAACGGAGTGTTGTGATGTTATCAATACAACAATGTCAATAATCAAAATTATTAACAATATTGTTGTGTTTAATTACAGTGAAGTTTGTAAGGATGTTTATACTTTACTGTCGTTATTTTTATAAAACACAGAAAGACGTGAAAGGTAAATATAAGTATTAATCTGCTTTAAGGTTCGGTTTACAGGCAATATGAATGCCCACTGCATTACAGGAAAATGAACACTGTAATGCAGTGGGCATTCAGAATGCTGTCCTCGATATTTCAGGGATAACGCTCACTTTCGCTCTCTGCACCTTTGATTTATGTCATGACAAATTGAAAGGCTCGGTGTATGCAACATTGAGGATGAAAAGAGAAGACTAGTTTGATCCTTTAGATGTACATCAGAAGACAATCTTGGTTGCATAACAGTAAAATGACCGGTTTTGTTTTACCTGCGACCAAGCAAACACTAAGCAGCGTGCTGACATATTCCAGGAGTGCAGAGAGCGAAAGTGAGCGTAAATCCTTGAGTATTGAGGATGTCATAATGTCAACGAGCCGCATGTGAAATTAGTAGTTTATGTTTCACATTTTTTTTCAATTCAATGACCACTTAAAGTACTTAAAATGTTATCCAAGTTTCATATATATCGGCGAAGAAGGTTAATTTAAATAGGAACGAACAACATTTGAATAAAAATTTATTTGAAAAGAAATATTTATTGAATAAATCTAGTCTAATAAATATGATTATAAATACATTTAAATAACAAAACATCCCAGAGGGATCTTGGCGCCCACCATTGCAAGAAAATGCGAGTCATTAAAGTTCAAACAGAAATGTAAAAATAGACATTCACAAAAATGATCACATCAAACTAGAAATGAATAACTCAAAATATATAAATGATGTAAAAACATAAATAGCAAACAAATTAGTTGTAAAGTATGTCGTATAATATTGTGAAGTTCAACTAAGTGTAAATAGTTATATATTAATCGCACAGAAACTATATCAAATACACTTTTTACAAACGGTACATTATATTATTTGTTTGAAATCTGCGCATTCAATCATAAAATATTTCACTGCAAATGGTTCACATGAATAACAATAAGGCTGGTTTTTCTTACGTGACGAAGGTATGACCTGTAGCAGTCGGGAGAGGACAATTTCCCAAACAAATCCGCATTAGGTTGATTTAAAAATAACTAAATGTTTATTTCTTTAGACCATTTAGTTTGCCAATTCGTATGGACAAAATTTGCTGTGGAAGGTTTTAAATCAGAATAAGGTAGTTTAATATATTTCGGTTGTAGATTAAGGAATGCTCTATCTATCTACCTTCTACCTTGGTACGAATAGCATCACATTGTTGTTAAAGTTCCGATTTTTAATACTTTGTAGTAGTTACAATGAATCAAAACATCAATTTTATTCTTTTGATATTCATCCGAAGCCAGACCAACATTTAATTCAGCTATAAACATTGAGGCAATATTGGGTAAACGGCAGGACAAAAAATACGCTGCCAACCTTCGCTTCGACCTCAGAGATTTGCGAATCGTGAGATGTAATTTGAAAAAGTGCTCTTGTAATGAAAAGGGAGAGCAGGAGATTTTCATTATTGTGTAATTCTAAAACTACTTTAGACGGCCGAATTTTCCATCCTGGAATATTAAGCTTAATAACAATATCGATTGATGATGAATCTAAATCTGAGTTTTCTGGTCATTTGTGCTCATTTTGTTCGAAAAGGTGTGTGTAATTTGGATAGAGAACTAACTGAAAAACTGAATATCTGGAATTTATTTCAACTAGTTACCAAACTTTATTGATAATCCTATTATTTAATAACAAATGTACAAGTTTATACTATTCAAATCACATATATGATGTCCGGTTTTTAATTGAGGACTTCGAACATGGGATTAAAATTTAGGGAATATGCGTTCTTTTTGACCTAAAAAAATAAATTATTGTAACAATTGATGGAGAGTACTAATAACAATGCACGGTGTCACCATAGAAACAACAAGAAAGAGGAGGTAGTTTTGAGCCGAATCAGATACATACATTACTCATGCACACTTGCGAAATGGTGAATACCAACCTTATGGTTTCGCTTGTGAAACAACATTCATTGTTTATAATTTTTTTGGTAACATGCAGTGATTTGAAATAGGTCCTCGTAACAACTTCCAAGTATTTAGATGAAATATGCGTCTATACTAATCATAGCGTTTACAATACTCGTGATACTAAACATCTTGCAAATTTTAAACGTTAGGTTGTTTTGCAAAGGTGTCGAATATTTGTTGACGCCTTTTGTCAATGAGCTGTAAAGCCGTAACAAAGAAAAATAACGCTTGTTGTCATTAAGGTGCGGCTCAGGTTTAAGGAAACTGCCAAAGTGATCTCGGTAACTGCAATGCATCCAATATATCGACTATTGGTGTCACAACGGCGGTTCCGTTAGAGGTTGATCCTATGGCCATACCTATGCAAGTGAGTTCCTGTCCCATGCCCGTTCGATCCACGAAAAAGACACCGGATCCGGAATCACCGGGCTGGAAGACCGCACCGTGACTCGTTAATCCGGCAATTTCCATTTGGTTTCTCATAAGAACCTTTCTCCCAGTATGGCCAAATAAGCCCATTTCGGTAGAGACTGGCGTCACCACTGTTCCCTCGCTGATTAGAGTCCCTCTTGTCACATGCGTTTCCGACCCAAACTTCACCATTCTCTTGTCACTGTCGATAGTATTCGGGTTCATGTGAATTTTTCCAGAATTGAAGTAAGGAAGATCGTCAAACCCTGCAAATTGTATAAAGGAAGAGTGTTATTTCAGACGTGTCACATTTTGTCTCTCTCATTTATACGGATTGTTTACAGTTTGGTTTTATTTTGTTCAACGTCCTATCAACAGCTAAGGTCATTTTAGGACGTGTGTGTTGTGTAAGCGTGCATGTGTGTATGTGTGACGGAGACGGGCTATGTTGGTGTACTTGCCTCCTTGTGATAGCGCGGATCTGATGCCGTTTTTTTTAGTGCTACCTCACTGAACGTTCGCCCAGGTGAGGAAGGCAATAGGTTATGTCCCAAAGCCGGGATATACCAGTCCTTAAGATGATAGTTTTGTTTTCTGTTTAACTTGATTCAAGTGAGATAGCACTATAAACTCGGTATCTGATCCTCGCTATCACAGGTCTCCTGTGCCTACCTGGGGATGTTGCGAGGACGTATACATTCAATTATCATCAAAATTGGATTCTTAACCATGAATGCAATAGAAGCCATTAGGGCCAATAAAAGGAAGATCAAACATGTAAAAGAATATGACAAACGAATTTAAAGGTAAAAGACAACAGTCAATATGAAAAGTAACAGTGGCCATGTTAGTTGCATCTTTTTGAACAGACCGTTTTAGGTAGGTTAGAATTGTAGAGATACTGACTGTTTGGAAAAGTGATCGTATATCTGTTTTATTCTTATAAAAAAATCTGTTGTTTGCTGAAGTTCAATGCAATCTAGTAGGTGTTTTACTGTAAATGATTCGTGACATGCTATGTATTAAGGCTAGTCATCGCTTTTTAAATGAATAAGAATTGGTTATGTATGAAAAACCATTTGAGAGACGGGCAAAGAAATATAATCTCGGCAGTTTTCTCTGTAGCTTGGATATCATCTACCGATTTCAGGTTTGACACAGTGTATTTTCCAATTATTTTGCAACTTTGACCTTACTATATTTGTTATTTAAAGCTTTAAGTCAGTTAAATGAAGTTCAACAGGTGGAAGCCATACAATCGCATTAGCAGCGCGATTAGACATTTTCATTACCTTGTATGCCAACGTCCGGGAACCTAGCATAATGTTATGTTGCATTTTGAGGTAATACTATTAATTGAGATATTCATCGAAGGTTTGTCGCAAATGCTCCGTAGAACAGATAAGTATCATAAAACTGCTTAACTTCGGTACACCATTCGATTTAATGTGGTCAAGGCCAGGATAGATAGCGTGGGATTGATGCATCATTTGATAGTCGGCATCTGTTACAACTATGGCTGTTGCGACGTTATGAACCATCGGTATAAAACGACTGAAAGTCCTTATATTTCAACTGCAATTTCGAAAGGAAACCTGACAAAATCGCTTTCTAAGAAACATATTTAATCAAATCATCATTTTAAAGTTTAAACATTAAACTTTCTTTTAGGGTTGTTAGGATTCTATAAATTGTATATCTCTGTACTGTAAAGCGCTTTAGAGTGGCTTATTCTAGCTAGATAGGACGCTATATCAAATCTTGTTAATTGTTATCGTTATTATTATAGGCGATGCCACAAGCATCATACAACAACATGAACAGATTTTAAAAGGAACCCAGAGTACAAACCTGTGAAATATTAATGTTTAGAGGTAGAACTCGCTTTTATATATGTGATGTAAATATTTGAAGAGTACGGACTTGAATGAGCAAGTAAATATTTGAAGAGTACGGAGTTGAATGAGCAAGAGTGTATTAAACGTATGTCTGTCACATTTTGTTACCGCATATGATTTCGAGTATACATTACTGTAATGGAATTCCGCCTTACTGTATTCCGACATTTGTTAGACATGAAATATACTTACCGAGGTTACATGTAACTACTTCCTGGGGTTAGCTTGAATACGCAAGTGAACTATCATGCTGATCAAGATATACATGTATGTCTGTGGTGTAAATAGGTTTTAATAAAACATTTACTAAACATATGACGTATTTTCGTTGTTTATTGGTTGATTAACAAATTGACCGATTAACCGACTACTCTATCGAAATATTTTTTTTGTTCGGGTAACCAGTTACCAAACTTTGACCGGTTTCACAACACTACTTTCTGTAGCATCTTCTCTTAATAACGTTCTTTTCAGAAGCTCATTACCTGCATGTTGCATCCGGATCGGGTTATCTACAGCAAATTCACCGCTTACTGGTTGACGTGATTGTTCTGTTATCTCCACAACTGCGGCATCAACACTTGAGGGCAAGTCTGGTCTGAACACTGCTCGCGTGACCTTACCACACCGATTTCCAGTCGAACCGAAGTTTACAGACGACGGTTGTTCAATTTTAATATTGCCTGCAGGGTCATCATACGTGTAACCGTTTTCATCTATACCGTAAATGATGTGTGCGCATGTCAAAAAAGCCAAATTGCCATTAAAATTAACGAAAGGACCTATAGTACCCGACCCTGAACCTCCTTCAACGCCAAACTGGCAGCCCATCTTCAACCTGTCGTGGATATCACTACTCCTTGATGTCGTGTATGCGTAGGGACCAAACTGAAAGTATCCTTCTCTGATGTCCGTTGAAGCAGTTACTTCCCCGACGGTTAGTTGCGTTGGAAATGTTTCTTCACCAAAAGGAATAAACCCTTTTGAACTGCAGTATATCACAATGCATTCTTCATTTCGGACATTATTTCCGTTCCTCCAAGATTTTACCGGACTCGTTCCAATAAAGTTTATATTACTATGTTTTGTGAACAGTTCGTCAGCGTGCTTCTGAATGATACGCTTTAACAAAGTTCTCTGTGATGGTTTTATGTCAAGACGTATTTCTCTGCAATAGTTGGTTATTTCCAATCCTTCACTCTTTATAGATTTTGGATTTCGGATTAGCACTTCTTGCCCCAGTTCTGTTGTGATTCTGTCTCTTCCTTGTTCTTTGTCGTATATAATGAACGTATGTTTTCCACTTGCATCTGTTGTTGGCACGACGAAACGTTCTTCCAATTTCAACTTAATTGCCAACAGTCGGGCAACATTGAATGGGAATCCTTTGCTGTCATGAAGAAAATCTGAAGAAAAAGATATTACATTTAATTTTTAATATATTTTGAATGGTAAACATATGATTTGTTTTTGTGATGATTTATAGCCCTTCGACAAATTCAGTCATTTCACACATTAAGCAGGCCATACATGAATATTATAGGGTCTGGTCACTGCAGCATTGCGCTACACCTGGTAACATTATACCGACAACTGGCTTTATCGGTCTAGAACAATAAAGCATTTATTAGGTATATTGTATATAACAGCAGTGCAAATGTATTCGATGGTATACAAGATCTATTTATATTTGGGACCCCAACAACCCTCTGTGCAAGGAGGCCGTACTCTCCTTCTATATAACGTTTGGTTTTAAAGGGTTTAACGTTCCATAAACATTTAAAGGCATTTAAACCAAGCCAAACTTCTCTGCCTCAGAATATTTTGAAACACCCAAGGTCAGCCCAGTGGAAGGCGATATCCTGCCTTTATACAATGACGAGTACCCGCAGCCAAAAGATCTTCACAACCTTATACCTTTCGGTAATTCGTAAAAGGTCGTTCAAAAGTTTTCAACATTTTTTACCTTAAATATGGATGGAAGTCATTCATTTGACCATGATAGAAAACTACCAATATAATTATCATCACCCTTTGCCTTTCGATTATTCAGAACAAGTTGATCTAAGGTTGAAGAGACTTGATTCTAGTGACCTTGAATACGGGTGAAGATCATTCATTTAGATAAACTTGGTATCCCTTCATCCCATCATACTATTGGCCAAATATCAGAACCCATAGCCTTTTGGCTGTTTAGAAGAAGTCGGCGTTTTTCAATTGACGCGATAGGACGTCCAGGTAAATATATCTGCTGTTTCATACTACATTTGTAAGTGGCAACTGACGTGGTTATCCACTGCAGAATTGTGAAATTACATTTGTTCCCTCTACGCTTAGACTTATGATCGTGCATTCTCTCTTAGCTAGTTCACCATTGTGATCAGCTTGGTAATACTTCACTTTTGTCTCATTGTTGAACGCTCGCTCACGTTGAGAAGGCAATGAATTTTGTGCCCAGGACGGGACCTGTCAAATGTTTAGTATAATGTAATGGGCGGAATGCTGTGCTTCGTGCATTCGTCATGGTATTTCAGCGAGATAGCACTACAAAGACGGCATCAGATCCGCGCTGTTACACCATCATACCCCGACTCCATGCCCAGCACACATACACACATGTGCATTCATTAAGCACATTAAGGTACGTCCTTAAAATACTTGAATTTGTATATAATGTTTAACAAAATAAAACGAAACTGTTGTCGATGTAGCCCTTTTATGTCCTCATCTGTTGAATAATAAAGTCATCCTAAAACATCATCAATCACATTTATAATAGATACCAACGATAGATGTTCTTCCGAAAAATATCATCTAGATTATTTTAAGCTTGATCTTGTTTCTTAATTTCAGGTTGATTAATTGCTCAATTGCCGATGCTTAATACAATGAATGCTCACTTACCGTGTTCACAATTGACATCTAATTGAGACTGGTTCATCAACTCTGACATCTTGCTCTCCTCACTTTCTACAGGATTCAAGAGTTGAGCATAAATGTTAAATAAGTATTTTATCTGAAATACTGTATATCATGAAATACCTAATTTTTCCAAAAAATACATATAAACACCAACTCAAACTCAAAAACGTACTTCAAAGATTTTAAACTCATGTATATCATCTACTTCACTCTATCCTCAATACGTATTGATGTTTTCATTTTTTATGAGAAATAATCAACATATGTGAGTGTATAATGGTGGAATCTATAACAACGATGAGAAAATCTCGGAAAAAATTAACTAAGCCCTCTTGTGGCCTGAATTGATTATTTTTTCAACATTTTCGAATCCCAATTTATATTTGCGACCAAAATATACAATCATGTTAATGTGATCTATTCTATTAATAGCGTCGATTCAATTTACATCTTCAATACATATAAATAGCCTCAAACGAGTGTTGGGGCTAATTATATTTTTACACAGTTATCTTTAATCAGGCCAAATACTACATTAAAAGTCACTACAAACTGCACAATTGGATTGGTTCTGATTACCGACATACCCAGAGAATAATCAGATGGCGGTGTGCCGGCTCTCGGCTCTATAGAAACGCAACCTGTAACATATCATTAATATAAATGTCATACCCTCTACATGTGCTATGGCTTAAAATAGTCACAGAAAACTTGATATGTAATGTAGTCCGAATTTTTCTGACGTTTTATCAACTTTTTCATATCGGTCTGTCGTCGATTAACGTCAAGAACTCCGGCCCTCTATAATATGCGGGAAATATGCGACCCGCGCCCGGAGAGAACTTCAAACTAATATTTTAGAAACAAATCGTCACTTTCACACACTTGTCGCACATGGATTGAAAGACCTATTCTTTATGCACTAGGTGGTATCAATTACATGTTTTAAAGATCATTACTAAAAGTATTTTCCAACGTTTTCTATACCAACCCATAATTTTAATGGAAATTAGGCCATGAGCAATGTCACATGACTTGACGAGATCTCGCGTTACCGAAAGTATTTCCCAACGTTCTGACGTAGGCCGGCGAGATTTTAGTCACGTGACATTAGAAGGCGGAGCTATCAAAAAACTAAAGTAAAACCGAGTAAGTTTGAAAAAAATAAGTTTTTACTAATTGTATTGGTTGTTTGAGGCATGTTATGTATGTTCATCTTGTGCATAAAAAATAGATCTTTCGATCCATGTGCGACATGTTTGTGAAAGTGACGATTTGTTTCTAAAATATCAGTTTGAAGTGTGCTCCGGGCGCGGGTCGCATATTTCCCGCATATTATAGAGGGCCGGAGTTCTGACGTTAATCGACGACAGACCGATATGAAAAAAGTCGATAAAACGTCAGAATAATTCGGACTATATGTAATGGTGCCTTGCTTCGTCAAAGCGAAAGTGATATACACCTTATAGGAATTCTTTATATGTTATTGAATAATAATATCTCATTTAAATGATATGGCTTGCATCCTTATATTTATTATTTATATATAAATGAAATAAATAAACATTCGTTACTCAGTCAAACTTTGCATAAAAAGACAAATATTCATTATATTAGAACTGACGCATTAGAACTGACGCATGGTAATGCCTGTGAAGACAAAGTTTTGTTTGGTTTGGTTTAGTATTGTTTAGCGTCCTATCAACAGCTATGGTCATTTAAGGATGGCCTCCCCTGTGTGTAAGATGCATGCGTGTAGTGTATGAGTGTGTGTTTTGGGAGGCTGCGATATGTTCGTGTTTGTCTCATTGTGATAGCGCGGAACTGCAGGGACAAAGTGCCTGGTTCATTGGGGACTTGGTTCGAGTATAATAATTTTGATATTCATTTGTTTATATCTTTTGGACGAGCTTTTGGCTATTTATATTTGCTAAATTGTTTGTAGTATCTTATTTCAGGTGAAATACTAAATTAACCAACTACACAATTGAAATGATTATAATTAACAAAATACCTTGAGGATAATCAGATGGCGGTGTGCCGGCTTCTGATATAGTAAAAGCGCGACCTGAAACATATAATGAATATATAATGTTATAACCTGTGCAATGGCTTAACATTTCATAGAGCATATTATATGAATGATACCTTGCTTTCTCAGAATGAGTTGATATATTCGTTATTTATGATTGACAAATCTTATCATTGAATAATATATTCTTGATTGTGTTTAAATTGTAAACAGACTGAAATCACAAATATGAATCGTGTTTTGTATTTAAATGGCACGGCTTGCATCCTTATATATATATATTACATATATCAATGAAATGAATCAACATTCGTTACTCAGTCAAACTTTTCGGTATGTTTTGGGGATTTATTTCCTCGCAACAACTAAGGTCACATAATGAGGGGGCACCGAAAGGCAACTTAATATTGCCATCTTACGGAATTTCATAATGTGGATCGGTAGCACTACACTCCATATAGCCATAATATCCTGACATCAATATTAAAAGTCCTTTCTGTAATATAAACAAAAGCTGAACGTCAAGCAAAGAGCACCAAGTGACAATTTTACCGAGTTTACTTTAACTCAGTCAGTCCCTGCAGGTAGGGCGTAAGAATTGCACCTGCTACCCCCATTGCATGATTGTAAGAGGCGACTAAATTTGGAATCTTATCTTTTCTTTTCAAACAACTTTCTTCTTCCTAATGTCTTCCTTGACAATGCCTTACTCTTGGCCTTTAGTTGAGCGTTCGCCCTGTGAGGAAGGCTTTGGGTTCTGTACCCTGGCCGAGACATACCAGAGTCTGTAACAAGAGGCCTGGAGGGCCTGTATCGCTCACCTGAATATGTTAAAAATAATTGCGATGAAGTAAAGATATAGCACTCCATGGTAGGTGCTGTAAGTACATATGAAATTTCAGAAAGATCCATCCGGTACTTGAGATATAACGAGAACAAACTTCAAACAAAGCCCCACCGTTATGCCCCTAGGGGGGTGGGGGGGTGGGGGTAGGGTATGCCCAACGTTTTTACAAAATTGAGTCCCTTTGGCCCAAGGATACTCCAGACTATATAAGGATAAAATCCCTTAATCCCTATGGTAGAAGAAGGATTTTAAAGGGTTTACCTCTATTTCCCCTATTTGGCCTCTCTGCCTCCAGTGGCAAAATCCTCTCATTCCCACAGAATAAAAAGGATTTTGAAGAATTTACTATGTTTCCCCTATTGGGCCAACCCTTCTGCCACCAGCGGGGCCACACTCGCTTTTTATACGAAATTGATTCCGTTTTGCCAAAGGATGCTCCAGATTAAATTAGGATAAAATCACTTAATCCCTATGGTAGAAGAAGGGCTATAAAGGTTTTACCTCTATTTCCCCTATTGGGCCCCGCCCCTCATGTCCCAGGGGGGGGGCCACACCCAATATTCATACAAAATTGGTTCCCCTTTACCCCAGGATGCTCGTCACCAAATCCTATATTCCTACAGACGAAGAAGGATTTTAAAGAATAATTTGCTATGTTTCCGCTATTGGGCTCAGGCCCTGGGGTCCAAACCCACGGTTTATACAAAATTAGTTCCCCTTCACCCAAGGATGCTTCAGACTAAATATAGAACAAATCCTTTCATTACTACAGAAGAAGAAGGATTCAAAAGAATTTGCTATATTTCCCTTATTAGGCCCCGCCCCTCAGTCCCAGGTGGGCCAGACCCACCATTTATACAAAATGTGTTCCCCTTCCCCATGGATGCTTTTGACCAAATATAGAACAAATCTTTTGCATTCCTCCAGAAGGAGAAGGATTTTAAAGAATTTGCTATATTTCCCATATTGGGCCTAGCCTCTCAGCTCCCAGGGGAGGCTACACCCACCGTTTATACAAAATTGAGTCCCCTTGGCCTAAGCATGCTCCTGACCAAATTTAGTCAAAATCTACTTGGCCGTTCAGGACAAGCAGCGCTTTAAAGGAAAAGTTGACGGACGGACGACGGACGCTGCGGTATGGCATAAGCTCACTCAGGTGTGCTAAAAATGGTAGTTTCTACTCTTGCTTAACGCTCATCAATTTAGGACTAAGACGACTGGTTCGCCCGTTGTCAGTATAAAGTGACAGGGTGGGGTGTCCTGCTTGGTGTCTTTGGCAGTATGTTTCAGTGAGGTAGCAGTATAAAGTCGGCATCAGTTCCGTGCTATCACAAGGAGACAAACACGAACATATGGCAGCCTCCTAAAACACACGCATACACTTCACGTATGTATCTTGCACACCGGGGAGGCCGTCCTTAAATGACCATAGCTGTTGATAGGACGTTAAACAGTACTTAACCATACCAAACTAAACCTTTAACTCAGTCAGGAGGAAAAGCTCGTAACCTTCCTCTCCCGGGCGAACGGTCAACATCAAGGCCGTCCAGTCTTGGAGAGAAAGAAGAATGAGTTGCAGGGTGTAGCAGTTATATTTTGATTGTTGTTATGATATCGAGTAGCTCTATGAACGAAATTTCTTCTTGTAACGCGTTTAGTGGAACTCGCAGTGGAAATTTGATGCTATAATGTCACACAAAATAAGGACGGAATTTGGATAAGAATAAATCGTAACGATCAACAAATGTAGGAATTCCGAGCAAAATTAAGAATTTTCTTTCGTGCCTTCTCGGTATATTTGCTGTTCACCATTAAATGTTTACGCCGTTGTCCCTTGGCAACTGCAATAGTTTAAACCCCGACACAGATCTCAATTGGTAGAAAATTGAACTAAATATATGTAGTTCTGCAATGTAGCAGAGACACTTTGTGAGGACGAGTTTATAAATATGTGTTTACTTATTGTATCGCTGATGGCAACACGCCGTGTCCTCTTTACGTTATATCCACCGATGCTGCCATAGTCTGTATGTATTCCTGAAACAAATACATCGAACATGCCGCATCGTTTTGACATTATGAAACAAAGAATTCTGTAATAGTTTTCTTTCGCTTTTACATATTCTTCGGGAACATATTTTACATAATAAAGAATAATTTTATGCACTGGTCTCACATCTTTCGTATTTGGTTCATGTTGTCAAATACACCATCATGAAAAGAATTATTTTCCAGATAAAATTCTCCGCTTGAATTGTTTAAAAGTTAGATCATTCACCAATGCATTATCTTACTTTACCTGAGGAGATGGTTCGTCGATAAAATTCCGTTCCATCGTCTAAACACACATACGCTGGAACAAAATGTAACGTGTTTAAAACCAATAGCTGATTTTATGCATTTAACGTTCATTATATGAACATTATATACATGACTCGTATTCGCATATCGTTTCGATTCGGAAAATTATATTGTTTTCTAGCTTGAAATAGGAAATAGCAACGATATGAACGGCACCTAAAAAGATGGATTCCCCATTTGTTTATACTTCAAATAGCACTTTGTCAATCCGTCATCGTGGACAATGACCTTATATGATCCTAAAAGTTGTAGGAACTTAAACTTCAAAACATCGAATTATTATATCCATATCATAATGACATTGACATGGCTATCTTCTTTTCTCTCATCTGTTGGATTGAGTCATGTAAATAATAAATGAACCTTGTGGTAATTTTTGATCCAAACTTCATACTGCTGTGTCCAACACTGTTCTTCCGATTTGACCTATTTATTACCAATGCGTTTAATTTGTAACAAGTGGAGCCTAAATTTAAATTTTAGAAAGAGTGTAAGCAAATGAAGCTGTCTAACGACAAGATTGCCGCCTGAGGACCATTTGTTTTTTCACGTAAACCTTACAATGAAACATTCACAACCTATGAAAATTAATACACTGGAGATCACATGCTTGTGCACTGGGGTCAACGACAGTGCACAATTCTTTTTTTCCCTCATAATAATTGTCTTGTTTACATCAGATAGTACATACCGGGAATTTTTCCCTGCCCCTCTGTTTCAAAATAAATGTAAAAAAAACATTGCATGATATATATTCCTATACATTACCTATCAATTAGTACATGCTAGAGTACCAATTATTTTCCAGTTTAAAAAAAAACATGAATAAGAAGAATATGTTCTTAATATATGTTATTTCACATTTATAGTTGCCCTGGGCCTTTTGGTTATTCAGAAGAAGTTGTTTGAAGACGTTACGACATTTGGCCCCTGTGATCTTGAAAGTGGATCAAGGTCATTCATTTGAACAAACTTGGTCAGTACCCTGGGCCTTTTTGTTATTGAGAAGAAGTTGTTTGAAGATTTTAACATATTTGACCCCTGTGATCTTGAAAGTGGATCAAGGTCATTCATTTGAACAAACTTGGTAGCCCTACACCCCAGCATGCTACTGGCCAAATATCATCAGCCTGGGCCTCTTGGTTACTCAGAAGAAGTTGTTTAAAGTAAAATATTGACGACGGACGACGCACCACGGCATAATTTCAATTGGCCCTTCGGGCCAGGTGAGCTAAAAATGAAACGATATTGGTTATATTCATGGAAAGGCCCTAATAAGATAACAACCAATTTTGTTATATTCTAATTCAATCGAAACCTTTATAGGTTTGTTATCATTTACCAAAGGACAGATCTTTACCACATGGCAAGCTGTATACCTGCTATGTTGGTTACTTCTTAGCTGCTTGTGTGGTGGAAATGCTGGAAGATACGACGATTGATGATTTGGAGGGGGTAACATTACAAAATGTGTGGGCTTCAGTATGTTATCCCCTTAATCAGTTTCTTTCGTCTTCAGATGGATGATAAATATATACAAATTGGGAAAGACGGGAAATTCGAGCAGCTGCCCTGCCGTCAGAGGGCACTAATAATGTTTTTTTATAAGTCGTGTAAAGTCAGCTGCACATACTGCACGGTCTTACATGATTAATTTTTCAGTTGCATGTTTCAATGCATTTGTTTCACAAATATACACACACTCACCATTTTCTGCCCCTGAAAAGGGATACGATCGAGGACGGGTTGGCTTTTGGTTGTCTTTATCTTTAATATAGATGAAAATTATTGAATGAAACAAAAATCATTTTAACAGTTTAAGATAATAATGACAAACATTTATACACAATTAGAAATAACGATTGCTGTCTAATAATTTGAATTTGATTAATTTATCACGACGTTCTAAAATTTAGCGGAATATGAACAAATTTGGTTAAATATTATGTAATGCCAATATTAATCGAGCGTAAAATCAACTATGTCATTGAAATATTCCATTATCCATCTTTCACCGATCGTGGTATTTATACAGTAAAAGGGATTTAGACACGACTTCTAATATTGATTTATCTGTCGCTAGTCCGATCCATTTGTGCGTATAATTTCCGAGAACAGATACGTCTCCGACTCTGGCCATATGTCTGTCTGCTTGCAACTTAATAGTTATCAAAATATGTGAACTTATAAAACATGTACATTTGTAAAAGATATTTCTTTTGATCAAATGAAAGACAAGATCAGAACTTTTTCAGACATCGTTCAAGATCATATTTCAACCAAGTCATTTGGTTGGTTTGCTTTTTTATTTATATTAAACGTCTTGTTAACTGTTAAGGTCATTTAAGGACGTGTCTCGATGTGTGTAATGTATGGTGGCTTGTTTGAAGGTGTGTTGAAGGCAGACTATAATTATGTATAAGCCTCATTGCAATAGCGCTGATTTGATGCCGAATTTAGAGTGCTTCCTCACTGAAATACCATGCCGAAGGCACCCAGCACAGCATTCCGCCTCGTCATATTGAACTGACAACGGATGAACCTGTTTTTGCGATAATCCTAAATGCTGAACGTTAAGCAGTGAAAAACAACTACCATTTTTAAGGACTGGTATGTCCCGTCCTTGGGACAGAACATATTACCTACCCCACATTGGCGCACGCTCAATTCTAAGACCAAAAGCAATGCACTAGGAAACAAAAAAGTTTTTAGAAGTGGAGAGAAAATACAAAGAACCTAATTGTTACAATGGGGGCAGCAGATCAATTTTGAATTCTTCCTTAGCAGATGTCACAGAAGAAAACCCTCGATTCTGCAGGGGTCCACAATAGTCGGCTTTTACGACATGTATTGGGATACAGCCGGCCTATTCTTTCACTGAGCCTGCAGGGGAGTCAACCCAGTCAAAATGCCTTGACTATGTGAGATAGAAACTTGTTGTTTGGTCAAGTGAAAGTCAAAATCAACTATGTTATCTTGCACACAGGGGAGGCCGTCCTTAAATGACGATTGCTGCTGATAGGAAGTTAAACAATACTAACCAAACATATGTCTGCGTCATAAATTGAACCATCCCACCAGCATATATTTTAGAATATGTTCAAAATATTAGTTTTTCCTAATAACTTGACTTCATCAAAATCAATACTCAAGGTAATTATTTTGTGTATGAAACCGATTTCATGTGGAAAAATAGTTGGTAAAAAAAAGTTGAATAGTGAAAATTGAAAATTCTGTGATAAGGCAACTTAAATTGAGTTATCTCTCTTTCATATCAACAATGTGACCTTAAAATCAGAATATATATATTGATACAAATGTATGTGGAGAAATGGGAAAAAAAATTATTGATCAAGTTTATTTTGATCAAAAACACTGTTCTCCAACAGGTGGAATTTAATTCAATGATATTTAACGATACAGTTGTGGGATCGCACAACATTACAAGATGTGCGGTGTGTGCACGATGTGCGATGAGTGCACGGTGTGTGAACGATGTGCGAACAATACAAAAGTGGACGAGTATTGCGTGCGCAAATGTGCGCACGATGGACGAACGTTGTGCTATACCAATCGTAGTTGGGTGTAAATTGAGGAATGGCTTAACAATATAAAAGGTTTCGTGTTCAAACATATAAACTTGATTTTTAAGCATGAGCTTACCTGTCTGTCTTGAATTTGGAAATTGTGTTTTCGATGTTTTTTAATCGACACATGTAAAATTACAACACAGTCCCGTATACAGGTAAACATAGCCTCTTTGTTCATACACCTTTACCGTAGTTCTCCCTCGGGTGTGAAAATCTAGGTGAATGGGCTATAGGCCTAACCGAATGGAAAATACTAACCGTCCAGTTGTATTTTCATAACGGTCATACGGTATCACATATCAGCTCTACCCGTCAGGCACAGGCCATATAAAACTTCGGTCACTCATCATATTGTTACTTACCTGTTCTGTTACCTTGGAGCCAAACCCATTCTTGACAGTCAAACAGTTAAACATATTTGACCCCTGTGACCTTGAATAGCATCTTACTGGCCAAATATCATCACCCTAGGCCTCTTGGTTATTCAGAAGAAGTTGTTTAAAGATTTTAACATATTTGACCCCTGTACTTTTAACGACTTCTTCTGAATAACCGAGTCCTAAGGTGATGATATTTGGCCAGTAACATGCTGAAATAAAGCGCAACCAGTTTTGTTCAAATAAATGATCTTGACTTATATTCAAGGTCACAGGGGTCAAATATGTTTAAAACCTTTAAACAACGTCTTCTGAAAAACCAAGAGGCCAAGGGTGATGATAGTTAGCCAGTAACATGCTCAAATTAAGTGCTACCAAGTTTGTTCAAATAAATGACCTTTATTTATATTCAAGGTCACAGGGGTCAAATATGTTTAAAACTAAAAAATAGACATTCACAAAAAATGAATCCCTCAAAACCAGAAACAAAAGGTTAAAATGTGTAAAAGATGTCAAAATATATCAAAAGCAAACGAATTGTTTATGAAATATATAACATCTTATTATGGAGATAAATTGAATGTAATTAATCATATATTGATTGCACAGAAACTGTATCAAATACACGTTTCATAGAGGGTACATTGTACAAGAAATCCAATGGGCCTGCATCGCTTACCTGGTATTAATCTCACAATTGTAACCTTAACAGAGGAATAAAAAAAGCTACAGGCAAAAAAAAAGTGTGTACACTTCAAGTCATTCAGAAGAACCTGTTAAAACACATTTGACCCCTGTGACCTTTAAAATCAAACATGGACATTAAGTTGAACAAACTGCATAGCCCTTCCTCCCAGAATGCAACTTGCCAAATATCACCACCTTATACCTTTTGTTTATTGAGAAGATGACTGTTACAGATTTATGCACTATGGACCTGGTGACCATGAAAGTGTGTGTGTCAAGGTCATTCAAATCAACAAGCAATCATGTATGCTTTAGTTATTCAGAAGAAGTCGTTTAAAGATTTCAACATATTTGACACATGTGACCTTGAATATGAATGAAGGTCATTTGTTTGAACACACTTGGTAGCTCTTCATGCCAACATCCTTCAGGCCAAATATCATCGATCTGGAGCTTTTGGTTATACAGAAGAAGTCGCTTAAAGATTTTCAAGACAATTGACCCCTGTGACCTTGCATATGGGCAAAGATAACTTATTTGAACAAACTTGGTAACTATTCATGCCAACATCCTTCTCGCTAAATATCATCACCCTGGACCTTTTGGTTATACAGAAGAAGTCGTTTAAAGGTGTTCAAGACAATAAATCCATGTGACCTTGAATATGGATGAAGGTGATTCATTTGAACAAAGTTGGTAGCCCTTTATACACGCATGCTACTGGCCAAATATCATCACCCTGGAGCCTTTGGTGATACAGAAGAAGTAGTTTAAAGGTGTTCAAGACAATTGATCCCTGTGACCTTGAATATGGGCAAAGGTTATTCATTTAAACAAAGTTGGTAGCCATTCACCTCCTGGCCAAATATCATCACCCTGGACCGTTTGGTGATACAGAAAAAGTCGTTTAATGGTTTTCAAGACAATTGACCCCTTTGACCTAGAATATGAGTGAAGGTCTTTTGTTTGAACACACTTGGGTGCCCTTCATGCCAACATCCTCCTGGCCAAATATCATCACCCTTGAGCTTTTGGTTATACAGAAGAAGTCGTTAAAAAGTTTTCAAGACATTTGACCCCTGTGACCTTGAAAAAGGATGAAGGTGATTCATTTGAACAAACTTGGTAGCCCTTTATACACGCCTGCTACTGTCCAAATTTCCTCACCCTGGAGCTTTTGGTTATACAGTAGAAGTAGTTTAAAGGTGTTAAAGACAATTGGTCCCTGTGACCTTGAATATGGGCAAGGGTTATTCATTTGAACAAAGTTGGTAGCCATTCACCTCCTGGCCAAATATCATCACCCTGGACCGTTTGGTGATACAGAAGAAGCCGTTTAATGGTTTTCAAGACAATTGACCCCTTTGACCTAGAATATGAGTGAAGGTCATTTGTTTGAACAAACTTGGTTGCACTTCATGCCAACATCATCCTGGTCAAATATCATCACCCTTGAGCTTTTGGTTATACAGTAGAAGTCGTTTAAAGGTTTTCAAGACATTTGACCCCTGTGACTTTGAAAATGGGCAAAGGTCATTCATTTTAACAAACTTGGTAGCCATTTATGTCAATATCCTTCTGGCCAAAAATCATCACCCTGGATCTTTTGGTTAAGCATAAAAAGTCGTTTAAAGGTTTTTAAGACAATTAACCCCTGTGACCTTGAAAATGGATGAAGGTAATTCATTTGAACAAACTTTGTAGCACTTTATCCACGAATGCCACTGGCCAAATATCATCACTTTGGAGCTTTTGGTTATACGCAATAAGTCGTGTAAAGGTTTTCAAGACAATTTACCCCTGTGACCTTTTATATGGATGAAGGTCATTCATTTGAACAAACTTGGTAACCCTTCATGCCAACATCCTTCTGCCCAAATTTCCTCACCCTGGAGCTTTTGGCTATACAGAAGAAGTCGTTTAAAGCTTTTCAAGACAATTGACCCTTTTGACCTTGAATGTGGATGAAGGTCATTCATTTGAACAAACTTGGTAGCCCTTCATCCCCACATGCTTCTGGGGAAATATCATCACCCTGGAGATTTTGGTTATTCAGGAGAAGTTGTTTAAATATTTTAACATATTTGACTTCTGTGACCTTGAACAAACTTTG